ATATATATTATATTTTTACATTATGTAATCAATATTCTATTTATTAAAGCCAAGTATGAATCTCATCAAGTCGGTGTTTTTAAACATTTTACATTTATTCCAAAATAATAACTCAAGGCAATTTAAACATTTTATTTTTGAACTTATGTTCAGCTATTCTTTTTAATAGTTAATTTTTAGCTATTTTTATAAGTATAGCTATTATAAGTCATCAAAGCTCAGTAAATATTGGTCACAGACAAAGAGATTTACCTTAAACTCGCTAAAAACTCCCACAGATCATATGATCATTCCATTTTAAGTCTTATTTTGACATGGCATAAAGTGGTTATATCAAAGCGTGTGAGTTGTTTACTTCATTTTTTTTTTTTATTAATCTTACCATTAATGCCATTATATCGGTCATTCAGACTGATTCGCAAACAGGTGACGTGCATGAACACAAGAGGTGGGATTTACTCTATATGATCCAATCACAGCTGAAAATAACCGATCATATCCAATCATATTGTGATTGAGGCATTGCTTCCTCTCATGTGACTTTCCCCCAGTCGTTCTCAATTATCCTCAGCAAACTCCCCTCCCACTTTAGGGGGTCTGTTAAAAGTCAGTGGGCTCAGGAGAGGCGAGAGAGACGCAGACTCCCGCTGGTGTCACTGTTGGACAATGTTTCTTTCAAAAACGAGTGATTTATATACTTTTTTATGTTATATTTTGTTATATTGGCGTTTTAAATTTTGTACTACAAATTTTTTTTCATCCAATATTTTGAGTTGCCTCCTTGGAGGAAATGCCCCTGGTGTGCAGGCAGTTATGTTGTCTGCGGCTTTGCTCTTTAAACTCTGATTGGCTGTCGTTATAGTTCTAGTGTGGACTTCCCTACTTCCCTCTTTGAATTACAATGATTAACTTTATAGTTATAGTTATTGTACTTGCTGTGAATGGGCCTTAACTCACTTTTATTTTTCTGAGCAAGATTAAGTTAGTATCAGGGTCTTGAAGCAATTTTTAGCCATTCTGGCTTGTCCTCTGTGAAGTTTGCTTACATGCGGTCTTGGAAATGCAAGCTTTTTCATAACTTGTGAATCCAAATATATTAGACAATTAGAAACAGGCCACACAAATATGCCAGCACACATTTTATGAACTGATGAAATTAGCTCCTGTCAGCGTATAGAACAAGTGCAACTGAGTAGTTGACAGGCTATTGGTAGAACTACTTGACTGTTCACTACTATTCTATACTACTGTATATGAATCTATAGAGTGAATGCAGTGTTACTTACTGATGGAAAACTTATTTTAAGCTGCTCAATCCATCTCCTATAGTAGCGTTTATGATTGGAAGAAGGAAAATATGATCAAATACAATCAATATCCAGATATATAATGAAAAAATGTCTGAATTATCTTGAGAGAATGGACATCCATGTTTTTTCTTATCAGTCAAGGTAAAAGTGCAATCTTTCCTAAGTATACTGTAATTGTGCCAGTCTTGTCTGATTTGTTTCTTCGTAATGTACTTTTTTTTTTTGATTGAACTTAAATGGCATAAATGTGCTAATGTCTTTTACTTTTTATATAAAAAATTCTTTGTTCTCGAAATGATTGAGAATACTGTTGCAGATAGGACCGGAAACCGGAGCGAAAGTGCCGTCTCGTAGGATAAAAGTTGTATTGTGAAGGGACAGATGCTACACTCCCATAAAGACCTGGGAAGCCATTTGTGTTTCACATGGCTGCAATAAGCCCTCTCTCACCCGGCCCCAGTCTGATGTTAATTAGTTCATAAATTAAGGACATTGACTTTTTTTAAGAGCCAAATGAATGGGAAGAAAGAATGGAAAGACGGCGAATTAAGCACACTAAAAACCAGGCGAAAAATAAACAAAAGAAAAAACAAAAAAGCAAACTTCAAAAGAGGGATCTAATTCGTCAGGCGTTTGAAGTGAAAACACTGAGGCTGGTTCCACTCGCCACATGGATTAATGGTCGACTGAACAGCCAGAGCACCACTCGCTCTGCTCTCTCTCACTCTGTCATTATCAGTGCTCCGAGACGGGGGCTTTTGTTTAATGTGATCCAAGAATAATTTTGAGTTTCTCTTGTTGTGGGTAAGATTACGGTCAGTTTTTCTTGCAGCGGTTAGTTAGATTCTGTTTGTACATCATTGAGGTTTGTTGGGTCAGTTTTCCTAAGTTGAGTGCAAAAGAAGAAAACATTTCTCTAAGCTCCTCTCTTAGGACACAGAGAGCATATTAGATGTTATCACAAGATTTTGTCTTCACTACCAATCATTGAGCTGGTAATACCTGCTATGACCTCATTGACACAAGCTCTAATCAGTATGGATAATCTCCCATAATTGAATATTGATTTGTAGAGACTGTTTGCACATTTCTGTTCATTCTACAGATAAGACGCCTTGGCATTCCCTTTAAAAGTTATGGCATTAAAGCCACATTTTCTGGTTCTTACATTCTTCCTGTGTTATCTGTTAATGATTTCTACACATCTTTCCAATCAAATTCTGTCATAAAATTATGCCTGTTCTGCCAATTTATAATTTAAATTAACTTTTGAATATATTTTAAAATGTACTTTATTCCTGTGATGACAAAGCTGAATTTTTAGCAGCCAGTACTCCAGTCTTCATAAAGTCTTCCAGTCTTCATAAAGATCCTTGTTCAATTAAAGTATTAATTTCTTTAGAGAAAATCTTACAGACTACAAACATTTGAATAGTAGTATATGTTGTGTGATAGTGCTTTTGAGACAGGGGTATATTGTTGCTCTCTCGTTGGTCTGATTGCTTCTACTTTGTAAGTCGCTTTGGATAAAAGCGTCTGCTAAATGACTAAATGTAAATGTATCTGAGACAAAGTACATCCAGGTGGGACACGACCGTGGAAATGTACAATACTAGTTTAGCTTATATTGGTATTTTTATTCTTCTGTTTTTTTGTTTCTAATTTCTGATCTTTATACATTTTTATTACTATATTTTGTACATTTAATACATAGGCTAATACATAAAACTAATACTATAATACGTAACCAGCATTTATTCTTTAAGGATCTGGATAGGTATGATTACTGCACCAGTCACAATATAATTCGGTGTATTTGCAAAGTTAGCTTTAAGAGTGGCCGGCTTTTGATTCAAAAATGCTGTATAAGCAATCTATTTTGAGTGTATTGATTATGATTTCCTGATTTTGATCATTTTAGCACCAGTGTTGCACATTATGGTTGTAAATTTGTTAGAATATAAAATGTCAGCTGTATTCTGTCACACATTGGCTTGTTTTGTGCCTTTGCCAGGACAAACATAACTTACCCTAATATGTTTTAGACTACAGCAGAAGCATACCAGAATGGCATGCAGATGGCTCCAGATGGAAACGGCGTACGGGCGTAGATCATCTCTGCAGCGGGGCTCTTGATATATGGCTATAAGGGGGCCAGCTTAGCACTTCCTTAAAATTTGTGCACATTCCAGACCTACTTTGTCTCGTCTCTGCTCCTCTTTATGCTGTTCGAAACCCTTGATGTCAGCTGGCACTGCCTCACAGAGTTTGCCAGGCTTTGGATCTCGGCAGGGGTCTATCGCTGCACCCCTCCCAACAACAGGCAGCATGTGAAGATTGTCACCCTGCTTTATAATTGGGGTTTCAGATCTTCAGAGCTTGGGACCCCTTCATAGCCCATCAGCACCTGGCTCCTTAGCTTTCAAAGGCAGTGGAGACCTCCAAAACCTCAGGTGGTGAAATACTTAAAGTTCGAGGCCCACCTGTCTGCGATTCACCTGTTGTTATAATATAGGGCTGTGTAGAGCTAGATAGTCTTTGTGTGAAGTTGCAGAGAAAACAATCATTTGCACATACAACAACACCTATAAGAATTTCTAGTTGACTTATTTAAATGCCTTTTCTTTGTTTATCTTCATACATACAGGTGAAACAGAACTCTCTCCGATCCTACGTTGGTGTAGTTCCTCAGGACACTGTTCTTTTCAATGATAACATCCGTGAAAACATTCGCTATGGACGCATCTCTGCAAGTGACCAAGAAGTAGAAGAGGCTGCAGTGGCTGCTGATATCCACCATAAGATATTATCCTTTCCAGACGGTAGAGGACTGCTATCTTTTCATAACTACATTTAGTAGTTATTAGTCATTTAGTAGTTTTTTTTTTTATCTGTTCACGGAGTACAGAGGACATTTCTCAAGCTTTATGATCTCCACATCCTTGGAATGCATGCACTACCATTTAATGGCTCACCAAGGCCTCATTTAATTGATGAAAAATACAGTAAAAACAGAAATATTGAGAAATATTATTTCAATTAAAAATAACAGTTTTGTTTATTTGAATATATTTTAAAATGTAATTTATTCCTGTGATGGCAAAGCTGAATTTTTAGCAGCCAGTGTCATATTGCAGTGTGTATTGATCACAGTTTTGAAAGAACGATATAGGATTGTAATAACATGAGGTGTGTATAAATGATTACAGAATGTTCACTTTTCTCTGAACAATACCTTTTTGAATATGACAGGATATGATACTGAGGTGGGTGAAAGGGGTCTGAAGTTGAGCGGAGGGGAGAAACAGAGAGTGGCCATTGCTCGCACAATCCTAAAATCCCCTCGCATTATTTTGCTTGATGAAGTGAGTAAAGACTCTCTTGAAGGTTCACAATTAATGATATGGGTTTGTACTCGATCCTGATTTTCAAATTCTGCTTTCAGGCTACATCTGCTTTGGACAGTCAAACAGAGCGTAACATTCAGGCTTCTCTCGCTAAGGTGTGTGCCAACCACACCACTCTGGTCGTGGCACACAGGTAAGTCTATTTCATATGCTAACAGAAGTGCTAAAGAGCTCCACATTTGTATAATAATAACGTTTATATAATCATTTGACAAAAAAAGATGTAAAATACCACTGGTGTGACTTCCATGGACTTGTTACAGTACATTCTTTTGGGAGGGTTAAGTAACTTGCTTAGTTATTCCCCACACACACAAAATTACGCCACAATTTCACTAATGTGACTGCACCTTTATATCTGTTTTAATGCTCCACAATGACTAGGCCCTGAAATATAGACATGCCATCAGTGCTTTTGTCTACTGCTCTGGGTTCTAAGCTTTATCTCTCAGATAACATCATGTATTGATAAAAGCTTTTGTTGGGCCATCTGGGCCACATCTCTAGCATTAATTAAATTAATCTATTTGTCCTTAAACCCAGTGTCTTCAGAATAACGCCCTAGTTCAAAGAAATGAAAGGTGTATGAAGGATAATCCAAACAATAGCAATCAGTTGTCTCGCCAATGAGATAAAGCTGTACATGACATAGCTGAGTTCATAGTTCACACCTAAATGTTTGTGGCATAGTCCATTAAACTTTTTTTTTAAATATCTTCAGGGTTATAAAAGAGAGTATCTTGCTTTTTTTGGATTTTCTGAAAAAGTTAACATTACAGACTACAGCAGTTTGAAATCTTTTGTCATCATCGCCCTTGAACCTAGAAAAACTTTTACTTACATTAACTGTATTTTTAAATTGCAGATTTGGCAAAATAAATGAAATGGATTACCTGTTTTGGATAAGCAATCAGTGTAAATGCATGTTGATTTCAGGCATACTGGAGAAGTTCTGTTGAGTATTGTCAATGCAATTGCATGTGCCTATCCAATTTTTTAGTCAGCTGGCAACTTTTAAAACATCTGTTTAGTGCAGTGGATGATTGACAGGTGAGTGGGCCTTTACTGGACACTAATAGATTAGTGCTTACGCAGCAGATGTGATCACATGGGTGTCTGACCACCTCAGGATGTGGTTTCAGTGATCTGACCACAAAACCTGTCTACTCCTGTATTTAGTACTGTTCACTTGGGATTAAATGAGAGTGAAGTTGGTGATCAAGATATTGGTCTTATCATAGCAGGTGTTATCGAACAAGAAAAACTATTTATTTTTCATAGTTTCAGTGGTCTGTCACAGTTATACTATTAAGTGTGCATCAATTCATTAAATACCCTTTATTATTAACCATTGTTTTAACACCGTGATCAGCTGATCTGATTGTCAATTTATTTTTCATAAAGCCCCTTTTACAGTACTTTACAAGCATTAAGCCAAATGGTGCAGAAGAACGTCACTAATTTGTATATAGATACTGATGACACAATGGTAAGTAGTTAAGTAACAATCACTAAAAATTAATTTGGAAGACGACGTCTTATTGACGTCATTGCAGCATAGACTGGAGCTGAATTCCAATTGTCAGGGTCCTTATGCAGGGTTCACTGCTCCCTACTCCCTGAACACAGGCTATCTGTTGAAGTTCACTTCATCTGACAAAAATGCGTTCGTTCAGAACACCCTGCAACGTCATCAAACACAGACGACACTTGCGTTGATTCATGCACATTAGAGAAGTTTAAGGTTTGCTGACATAATATACTTCTTCAAATACACTACTGTTCAAAAGTTTGAGGTCAGTAAGTTTTTTTTAAATACTTTTATTTAGAAAGGTTGCATTAAATTGATTACAATTAATTTAAATACATTTATAATAATGCTTTTTGGTAACACTTTAGTATAGGGACCAATTCTCACTATATCAACTACTGTAGTTGCTTATTAGCATGCATATTACTAGTACATTGGCTAATTATTAGTACTTATAATTATTAGTACTTAACTACCTTACTAAGCAGTGATTAGGAGTTGTAGTTAATAGTTAATTAATAGTGAGAATTGGACCTTAAAATAAAGTGTGAACTGCTTTTTATAATAATAATAATGCTTTTATTTAGAACTTTGTTAATCAAAGAAAAAAAAGTTTTCACAAAAATATTAAGCTGCACAAGTGTTTTCAATATTGATAATAATAAGAAATGTTTCTTGAGCATCAAATCAACGTATTAGAATGATTTCTGAAGGATCATGTGACACTGAAGCCTGAAGTAATGACTCCTTTACCATCACATGAATAAATGAGATTTTAAAATATATTAAAATAGAAACACTTAAATTGTATATATGTCTCACAATATTCCTGTTTTACTATATTTCTGATCAAATAAATGCAGCCTTTGTGAGAATAAGAGACTTCTTTCAAAAACATAAAACAAATCTTATAATATACATGTTTGTATTATTAATTTAATATAAATTGTCACATTTGAAGAGTATTTCGAACTTCTATAAATGCTTTCACTGTATGACTGCTAGCATATACTCACATTAGTATTCACTACTTTGTTTGTTGTCAATTCGTTCAATTGTACATCGACCTGCCTTACAGTTTCTTCTCATCCTCTCTAATTAAACACTGATTCAGTGCTAATTACTCAAACTACAAATGGACATCTTACAATTTATCCACATTTAATATGTTTGTTTTCAGAGGTATTGTTAGTCATAAGATGAAAAACAGTACAAATATGTCGTTTCAATAATATCGTTTCACCTCTAGTCCACACGATAGTGTTAGATAACGGTCTGCTGTGTCCTCAACAGAAAACACGTGTGCGTCTGCTAGTTATTAGTGTGGAATTATTTTGTATTGGTGTTTTATGAGAAGAGCGAACACTTTCGACATTGATTCAAACGCCTCGCTCACTTCCTCTCCTCTGGTCAGCTTTTTTTCTCGTCTTTCTGTGTCACATTCCACCACTCTCGTACTCCTGCTGTCGCTCTTGGAAAGCGTCTCTGCCCGTCCAGCGTCTCTAATTCCTTCTCCCTAATGTTTTTCCCTCTGTCTCTCATTGCTCTCCTCTTTAGAAAATTGTAAACACATCAGGATCAGAGTCTGCGAGCTTTGATCCTGTCCAGCCTCTGAGACTGGTGTGACTTTGATCTGTTTTGGGGTGGTGGTTCTGGGGTTAGCGATCAATAAAGAAGTCTCCGCTTCTTTGTTTGAAGATGAAGGGCAGCTGAGAGGATGACCTGCAGAAGGGTTTTGGGTGTGAATTAAAGAAGTAGTGTATGTGGATTAGATTAAGAGGGATCTAGTGCTTAAAGACTCTGCTGCTGCTTTAAATTAGGGAATGCGTTTACAGTACATCGGCAGCTGAATCGTTCTGCTTTGTGAACAGGATACAGACAAGGATTAGGTTTTTTTGATGTGATGCAGGAATAAAAACAGGCTTTAGGGGCAGAGTAAGTGACCTGTTTCCTGCCTGTTCCCTTTAAATGTGAAGTCTAATGTTTTTAATACTGCAAATATTTTCTCCTACCTAAATTATTATGCAGACAACAAGTAAGCTGTTTGTAGGTTGTAAATATTGTTGCTTAATAGAGCATTAAAGCGTTACCCATTTCTTTGAGCATCCTGACCAGCCCAACACAACAATGTGAGTTTGAGGCCGGACTATCCTTTATATTTCCAATAAGTGGAAAGGCACAGAAACACCTAATCGACAGCAAATCTCTAGCGGTCGCCTGCATGGCGGCCGAAAAGTTGCACTTGAAGACGCACATTCTTCGTCTGATTGAGAAGAAATAACTCTCCATACCAGCAGGTGGCAGTTGTCTGTATTTATCATTCAGAAGGAAAGTCAAAGAGCTTGGAGTGCAGATATACAAACCATCAATAAAGCAGTGGTTGTTCTCCAGTATGCACATGTATGTGACCGAAAGTAAGTGCACAAGATTGTGGACTTCATCCACGCTTTCCAGTGGTTTTTGAGGATCCCATCAACTCATGTGCCCTGAAATTGCGAGATACAGAGGGAAACTTTCCAGATATTGAATGTAATTTGGTAGTAACACATAAAGTGTAGATCATTTTATTGGCGCTGAGATGAGTATGTGTAAAGTATTTTGAAAAATGTTTTCAACTGCTTTTTAAACCTTCATTAGAAGCACCACAATTAAATTGAATCGTCTGTTACATAGAGACTACTAAACACACAGAAGTTTGTTTTAAAGTGCAAATTATTGAAAATCAAAATGTGTAAATAAAACTTAGTATAAACTTGACTTGCATCCTTAAAATACTATGAGTGTGTCCCATTGGGTAATCAAAAGTTTTACACACACTTGCAGAAATCTATCATGGAAGTAGAAAAATGGTCAAGTGCAAAGACCGAAAATGTGGGTATTGGGACAGACCCATTTTCACAACAATCTTGCTCACCAGTTGCTTTCATCACTTCCGTTTTTCTTCTTGTGCGCTTGTTCATTCTGCCGTCAAATCAACATGCTCAATTGGCTGACAAAACAAACAAACATGGCGGTTCGATTAGTGCCAACAGTGTGAAACAAACCACAAAAAATGCCTGCCGATGGCCAAGCCTCGGCTGGGTTTGTCATGGCCTGAAGATGGTTTTCAGGAAACCTCTATGAGAATAGTTAATTTTTGTTATTCCTTATGGTGATGGTGACATTTCTGTTCACTCTGAGGTATATTATCAGCTACAGTATCACCTCAGTATCTTTTGTTGCATACATTCTGTTCAATACTGAAAAGCTGAAAATTATTTTTTTTATAAAGGCTTATAACCAATATTAAATAAATTTTTAAAATACATTTAAATAAATAGCTACAAGTGAATTTGGGCGTCACAACATTATAATGTACAATATGATCAATTATATGATTGTGAGGTTTGCTGAAGATTACATTTAATGTTGTTATTCAATTATTAGTTTGATAGAGATTAACTTTTAGTGAGCATTAGATAATTTCTATTTAATGCAATAACGTTCATTTGTATTTTCAGGTTATCCACCATCATCAAGGCCGATCAGATCCTGGTTCTTCATGACGGGCGGATAGCAGAACAAGGAAGGTCAGTAGTGTGTGTGTGTGTGTGTGTGTGTGTGTGCGTGTGCGTTTGTCCTCGAGCTTCTGTTACTCTGAGAGAAAAAAACTACTGTAAAGATTCAAACGACACACCCTGCGTGGCCTTTTCCCCCTCAGAACGGCCAGAACACAAGCGGTATAAAAGAGGAAATGTGACACCCTCTCTGTCCTGATTGAGTGAAATTCCTTTGGTTATGTGGAGAGTGAACCATAGAAGACGTGTTGGGACAGACAGGGTCTTCTTCATCCTTAGGAAACGTAAGATCTGTGTGTGAGAGTGCGTCCCAGAGGCGGTGTTCTTGTTATCAGTCGATCTGTAGTCTTAACCTGAGTGCCGTCTGACTGCGTCCTCATCTTCCCAGAGACAGGATATAGTCTCTCAGTGTCCGAGCGGTCCACACCCTGCCTGATCGGTGTGTCCTGTCTCGCTGCAGGCCCTCAGGTGGTACACACACACCAGTGTTGGGGAGTAACTAGTTACATGTAACCGAATTACGTAATTTAATTACAAAATAAAAGTAATTGTAATCAGTTAGAGTTACTAAGAAAAAATGTGTAATTAAATTACAATTACTTATGAAAATGTTAAGGATTACAAAGGGGGTTACATATGACTTTTTCCACACACACTCCCACATACAGATTTAATTGAGTTGCAGTGACTACTCTAAAATATGAAACACCAATGTTTCAGAAGTTTATAACATGCTTATGTATATGCTTTATTTTTTTAAGATTAACTTTTTTTTCTAAGGCATTGTTAGATTCCAGCGTTTACTGTCATAGCTATGCAAAGGTTTGATTTCAAAAACAGTATCATAGCTATTAAACTATTTCTTGTTATGATTTTAAATATGTATTTAACCTCAGAATGATTTGAAAGGGTTAGTTCACCCAAAAATGAAAATTAGCCCATAAATTACTCACCCTCAAGTCATCCTAGGTGTATATGACTTTCTTCTTTCAGACGAATCCAATCGGAGTTATATAAAATATTGTCTTTGATCTTTCAAGCTGAAAAGTTTAATGCCACTCAGCGGGTGTTGCATGCATCAGTCCAAAAGAAGTTAAATAAAAAGCGCCCACCCATAAAAAAAGTGTCTCACACGGCTACGGGGGGTGAACAAAGGCCTCCTGTAGCGAATCGATGCGTTTTTGTAAGAAAAATACACAGAGTGTTCCACTAATGGACTTTTCCATTCATCCTGGCCGTTCAGCCCTGGTTTTAACCCTGTGCTCACTGTCCTGCACTTCGGCACTTTGATATATGAGCTACAGCCAACAGACCATCCGCAAGACACACACGGCCGTCAGGGATGTAACTCCACACCTCGCAGATTCAGCCCTGACTGACACTGCGATGTAAACAAGACCCACACAGGCTTTTAACCCACAGGAACAGCGTAGGTGGGAACGTCCATTCGGGGAGGTGAAGGGTTAATGCTTTCAGAATAGAGGAATTAATAGATACACCTTGTGCTGCCCCTTAACAGGCTACTTCCTGAAAAGAGACGTCTGTGGTCTGGAAAATCTCTGGGAAAAGATTTGACAAGGAGGGAGGATGCGAGGTTCACATGGTCATGGGAAACCTGGAAGTATCAGCGATTTTTCAGGCCTGGAAAAGTCATGTAAATTATTAGTGACTATAAATCATTCTGGTTATGCTCATCTAAAATATTCAGGTAATATATATGATAATAGTTTTTAAAATAATAAATATATGCTTATATATTATATAAGTATAATATAATACAAGTTTTTTAGCAAAATATATTACAAATACTTCAAATCCATATCCAGTAAGCAAAAGATCCTGAAAACCATGGAAATTTTTTGTGAGTATAAATCATTTGATTAAAATATTATTTTTTATTATTTTTCTAATATAATAAAATCTGTTTTAAGTACAATATATTGAAGATATTTTAAGAATCCATATCAGAATCAGAATGAGCTTTATTGCCAGGTATGTTTACACATAAGAGGAATTTGTTTTAGTGACAGAAGCTCCACAGAGCAACTGAATGACAGTAAAAAAACAATATCCAGTAAGAACAAAAAGAAAAACACCTGGAAAACTCATTGAAATTTCTTAGTGACTATTAAGTTTTGTAGTTATGCACAGCTAATTATATTCAGACATAATATAATCTGTTTTTTAAGTGCAATATTTTAAAAATAATTTAAAAATGTTTTAATCCAGTAAGGACAAACGACTGGTAATCTGGAAATTTCTTATTGACTATAATTTCTTATCAACCTAGCTGTGCTCATCTTAAAATATTCAGACTTCAAATAATATCATATTTTTAAGTGAAATATTGTAAATATTGTCCAGTAAGGACAAACAACTGGAAAACTCATGGATATTTATTGACCAAAAGATGTAGGGATACGGTAGGATAAACACTGGCCATGTTATTAATTTATACAGGTAATAATCCACTTTTGCAGCTGCTACAGAATGCTTGCTCAGGTCCATTTGAAACTTCTAGTGTGATCTTCCATTACGATGAGAACATTTTCCACACTCTCGTTCCCAGAGCTCAATGTCCCATACTGTGTCTGCTTCACTTTTGATGTCATACTTCCAAGTAATTGATGCTTCGACAAACTTGACCCTAGATCGACCTTCCTAACTCTGTTTTAGCAATCTGAGTAGAATGAATAGAGATGGTCCTGAGCGTTTCCTCACCCTTAAGTGATTTCTGGAGCCAGAGGGAAGCTTTCATTTGGCTTCTCCGACCCCCTGTGAAGCTGAAATGCTCTGAAGTCCACTTTGGCAGCCATCTTGGCAGTCAGTGCCTTGGGCAGCTGTTTTCAGTCTAGGTTATAGTCAAGCAAATCTCCTATTTTAAAGGTACATGTCAAAAATCTCAAAAACCGTTGACAGTGCTTAAGATTAACTCTCAGTTTTCAAAGAAAAACAGAAAGATGAAACTTCCTTGTGTTGCGATTTCTCTTGTACACTTTTCTGCAAGTGGTCTGTCTGCTTACAGTATGTTGTGTCTGACTGCTCTCTGTCTGTAGGCACGAGGAGCTGCTGGCCATGGGGGGACTGTACGCAGCCATGTGGTTAAAACAGCAGCAAACCCCAGAGTCAGAGGTCTCTACAGATGAACAACCGCAGGAGCCACAGCAGAGTGGCTGAAGCTGATGGAGCAGCGATGATGAATGGTGATGGGTGAAATCAATCAGGAAAATGGTAAAAGAGTCCATCTCAGACACAGGGGCACCAGACTGCACAAAAGTAATAAACTAAGAAGAGTGTTTCTCAGGGAAAGGTGTCATTAAAAATCTACCAATCATTGAGTACCTCTAAATATGTTAAAGGGTTAGTTCACCCTAAAATGAAAATGGTCCTCATTTACTCATTACCCTCATTTTGTTCCAAACTTGTATGACTCTTTTATTCTGTGCAAAATAAAAGTAGATACTGTGTTTTGATTTTGAGTGTTGGCAACCAGTGGTTCCCATTGACTTTCATTGCATGCACAAAAACCACTGACATTTCTCTTCTTTTATGCCTCACAAAAAAAGTCATACAGGTAAATAATGACAGCATTTTCATTTTTGGTGAATTTTCCCTGTAATGCTTAGGAAACAGCATTAGTATAAAAATACTGTCATGTGATGACTATATTCAGTCATTTCTGTTACATTGGTTTTTTCTTTATATTACATGTAACACATTTGTTTACACTTCTATCCATCACTGTAAACTGAGGAGATGTAGAGGAATCTCTGTCGTCTACATACGGGAATTGTAGGTAACATGTTCACTTGCTCAGGGTCATGTTTCTTTCATTATAATGCCGACATTTTAGTCACATTATATATTGCGGTGTTTATGTTACTCTGTATTTACATAAGTACATAGTAAATCTAATGAACTACATGTACTTTCCATATGCATTGTTTTCTTTGATGTTATCTATAGTATTAAATTTCAGTAACATGAATTTGTGAAACATGAATATAGTATTTAAATTGGAGTATGTGTAACATGTACACTGTAAAATGTAGTGTTCCCAATTTTTTCCTCCAAAAAACCATCAGACCTCTTTAGGCTGAGCCAAAAATTTTCACCAAAGTGGGGATGCTTTACCAAACCACATTAATTATCATCCTCCTTCACAATCAATCTATCATATCTATTTTGTCCACATCCACATTTATAATTTGAGATTCAAAAACTGAACATGGAAAATACTCATATACATTTAAACCAATATTTTAATATTAATGACATGCTGAACTTGAGAGGTGTTTGATATATATTCTCTTTTTTTTGTTTGTTTTTTAAATAGGTTTTTATTGATTTCTAGTTTGAATTGAAACTATTTGTATTTTTGAATGTACTTAATTGAACAAAGAATTGAATTAATTTTAAAAGAGAAACTGATGGATATTAAAGGGACTTACATGAACCACAGAAACATTCAGGAATATTGGAAAAACATCTGTAGCCTTTGGATATTCTTAAAATGCCTTTCATGGAAACATTAGCTAGGTGTTTTGTACATTTTTTGTGAAATGTGGATAAGTTGGTCAAGTACTTAATTTAAAAAAAATAAAGTCTGTAAATAAATACAACCCTGACTATGTACAAAAGTTAATTTATTTAGAGTATTTACATCTTTTCATTCCAGCTATGGTTTAGCACAAACAATGACATGTATAATCCTTTAAGACAATTGACATTAAAATCCATTCATTAAGTAGAACATGACAGAAATATTTACAGGGTAACACATTTCTGAACTATACAAAAACGGATATTTATCTTTAATGATTTAGGCTTAGAGTTAAAGATTGGCTACAATGCACTGAGGTTTGATGGGACTTTGGCCCACTCACATCAATACTATAAGAAAAGTATGAACAAATGGGTGTCCATGTGAATGTTTAAAAGTTTGGGGTCAGTAGGTTTTTTTAATAAATAAAGTAATACTTTTATTTAGCAAGGACACATTAAATTGATCAGAAGTGACAGTAAAGATGTTTATAATGTTTAAAAGATTTCTGTTTCAGATAAATGCTGTTCTTTTCTGTGAAATGCTCTACTTTCTATTCATCAAAGAATCCTGAAACAAAAATACTGATACAATTAAATAAATGTTTGATGATAATAAATGTTTCTCGAGCACCAAACAATCCCATTTTAAAAAGGATTAAAATATTTTAAAATAGAAACGTAATTTTAAATTGTAAGAATATTTCCAAATATCACTGTTTTTAAAGTTTTGATCAAATAAATGCAGCCTTGCTGAACATTAGAGACTTCAAAAACATAAAAAAAATCTTACTAACCCCAAACTTTTGAATGAGAGCGTATATTTCTGAGCAAGTAGATGCGCTGCAGAAAAATATCGTCCTACTGTCTGTAATTTCTGAAGAATGTGTATGAATTCCCACAGGAGCTGGCGTGGGGCCTGAAATACCTTCTCGTCACTGTCAACATTATCGGCGGCTGGCGATTAAATGTTTGCGGTGATAAGCGAACACTGTGAACAGAGTGGTTAATACAGTGTGGAATAAGAGGTCTGACTTAAATACATGCTTGCAGAGCCCAGTGTCTGCTAGAGTCCAGACGTGGTGAGGGAACATTTCTCATTACTAAATCATGCTGGACCGCCCTGTCCCTTACTGAGCTGAAGAAGGGACAAGGAGATTTGTCCTGAACTGTTCCAAGTGAGTGTGAGGTGTGTTTCAGAGTGGCCTTGTCACCATTGTTCAGTTCCAGGCGCGCCCTGTGCGATGACCCACGGAAGAGCACTCTGGTAAAGGAGCGCGGATGCCCCTGCGCTGAACCCTCACGGCAGGCGGAGAGAGGAGAAGTTCGCATGGGACGCTCCCCACAGGACGCCTTCTACGGAGCGGCAAGCAGGGGAAATGAGGTTCAAAGTGAGGACATGTCAGACGCTTTCTCTCTCTCTGTCCTGCATTACCGCCTCTTCTTTCGATCTCTTAAGCACACATTATGTAGTCTCCGTTCCTCAACAGCTTGTCAGGGTCTATGTGCATCACTGGGTTGAATTAAGTGCGCACACACAGGTAGAGTGTGTGTGTCTCTGTGTTTGTGAGAGGAAAGCGCTGGTCATGGATTTGAAGTTTGTGCATTATACAAAGTCATACTTCTAGGACTACTCGTTGGTACTTGTTTTTCATGGAAGTACTCCACTGGAGTGTCCGAATTACGGATTGGGAACAGTAGAGTTGGCTCTTGTCCTTCTGAAAGTCCTGGAAGCGGTCAGTTTGCTCAATTCCTGCTGTTGTCGGTCTTGGGCCGTTTTTGGTACCACAGAGCTGTGGGGAGGTTCTGGCAGCCCATGTACTCCTTCCTCATTTCGGCTTCGGTGAGAGGAGGGGTGGAGTTGCACGGAGCACCGGCCAGAGTCACGTTCATCAGTCCCAGAGCAGCATCAGCCAGTCGGTGCATCGCAGAACTCTGCTGTTGCATTAAGCAAAGAAAGAAAGCGTTTAAAGTCTTCAAGTCATACGATAGCTTTATGTGGAAAACAGACAGAAATGAAAGTTATTCCACAGAAGATCTGAAATGTAAAGGTTGTATTGGCTACAAAAATGACACGTTGACTCAACATTTGTTTTGTGACCATTTTTAGTCAAAACTGACTTTTTGGATTTGGTCCTATTCCACAGACAAAGCCGTCATTATAAGAAGACTTAGCAGAATAAAGACCGTGAGTCGTATAGACTGTGTTTATGATGTAGGTCATAAAAGTAGAACTTGCCTCTGTCCTCTTTCAATTTTAGTACAAAGAAAAGAGCAGCTAGGATATTCAGTTATGCTTTACATTAAGGGTCCATTTAGGGCTGCACGATTAATCGCATGCGATATTTAATGCGCATCTTGTCAGTAAAGACGGTTCTGTAATCAGCGGTAAATCTCCATCACCTGCAGGCTTTCACATTGAGCAGCATTAACTACACAGAGCCGTTGTTCACTGACGAGTTGCGCAAAACCACGTTAAATATCGCATGCGATTAATCGTGCAGCCCTAGGTCCATTAGTTAACTTTAGTTAATTCATTAACTAAAAATTAACAATTCATTTTTTACTATATTTATTCATCTCTGTTGATGTTAATACAGCTGTTCATCGTTAGTTCATGTTGGCTCTGGTCCATTAAAGGGATAGTTCACCTTCAGTTGCTGGTCCCCATTGACTTGCACAGTGTTTTTCCCCCATACTATGGAAGTCAATGGGGACCAGCAACTGAAGGTTGAACTATCCCTTTAAATTGTTGAAAGATACATCTTGATTTTAATGGCAAATGATAAATAAATGCTTTAGAATTGTTTTCCATTGTTATGTCATGTTAACTAATGTAGTTAACTAATGTTAACAAATTAAACCTTATTGTAAAGTGTTACTGGATACTATATAGAGTGAGAAAATGATGACAGAGTTTTCATTTTTGGGTGAACTGTCCCTTTAAGCATTTATAATCAATCACATAATCAAGTTTGCATTTCCACCTTATTTTTCAATTCCAGTGAATGTATGAGACTTATCATTCATTAGCTGCTGTAAATAAATAACTAGAAGAATAGCAAAGTGTGTTTATGATTATGATAATAAATTATACATGATTAAATACAGCTAAAATAACTGGAAGCAGCTGACACCGGAAGCCTCACACGAGTTACAAATGGTTGTGCACTGCTTTTACGTTAAAAATAAGGTGTATACTTTGTTTTGTACAATCAAAAAAGAGTGATCTGAACAGCCCAGATTCATAAAGGCTTGTAAAGTCTCACCTTACTGAGGTGGTCTATGAGGCACTCTGATGGGTTCAGAGAGGCCCAGAACTCAGGTGTGTGCACCCAGGGCAAGCCGTTCAGCAGCACGACATTGACATGTTTGAGAGATCCCATCAGTCTCTTGCTGAGGATTCCACTGTAGCTCTGCTCCACAAAGAGCAGCACCCGACTGGCCCTGCATCCGGACAGATCCGCCAACAGTTCACCCACAGAGTAACGCTCCTTCAGATCTGCCTGGAGAAAAAAATATATATACCATGAAACCATCGTATAGAGCTTTCCTAGCATATAAAATGAAAAGTTTTATAGATTTTGCCTTAAAATGCCATTTATTAAAGTAGTAATCCGCAAAAGTCTGTACATTACAGTGATTTCACAGCATGAGATAAAAGCAGTGCAAGGACTTGAGTGGAAAATGCTTTTATAAAACTTAGGCAGCAATTATAGACTATTGTTCAAAAGTTTAACATCGGTGAGAAAACAGTAATGCTGTTTCTGTTTAATATATATTCAAATGTAACTTATTCCTTTGATGCAAAGCTGAATTTTAAGAAACCATTCCTCCAGTCTTCAGAGTCACATCAGAAATCATTCTAATATCCTGAATTGCTGCTCAAGAAACATTTTTTTTTTTATATTGTCAATGTTGAAAACAGTTGTGCTTAATGTTTTTTGTAATTTTCTTAGAATTATTTGATGATTAGAAAGTTCAAAAGAACAGAAATAATTTGTATTATAAATCTTTTATATATTATAACTATAATATTAATATTAAATTATAATATAAAAATACTATAATAAAAATAAATGAGAGAATATCAAAAAAAAAAATTATCATTAACAACCTGTTCCCCCCACTATTTTCAAATAATTTTGTTCTAGTTTATATTTTAATTTCATCCAATGCACCTACAATTCGCTATTTCACTTAAATGACTGTGGTCTATTTTAAGGCACTTCAAAAGGAGAGCATACATT